CAACAATTTGAATATCACTGATTACTTTCACCTTTTCAGAGTCAGTCTGAACACCATCCTCAGTGACGACGTGTCCCAAGAATTTTACGGACCTTCTGAGGAACTTGCACTTTTTTGGAGCTAGTTTCAAATTGTGCCTAGACAAGCGTGAAAAGACAAGTTCTAGTCTGTCTAGGGCTATATGCTCATTTGGAGCAAAAACCATCAAATCGTCCAAATAACAAAGGAGGCTAGAGAAGTTTTCACCACCGAAAATGGACATCATCATCCTCATGAATGTTGCTGGACTGTTAGTCAGGCCCTGAGGCAAACGGTTATATTCATGGAGGCCAAAAGGAGACGAGAAAGCGGTGTACTTCTTATGTTCTTCAAACAAAGGAACATTATAGAAGCCTGAGGTCAAGTCCATGGTAGAAAAGAAAACATTACCTCCCAGAGCTGCGAGTGCATCCGACTGGTGTGGTAATGGGTGGGCATCCTTTACGGTCTTTGCATTCAGCCACCTGAAATCAGTACAAATACGGAGGTCACCATCCTTTTTCCATACTAAAACCAGTGGAGATGCATATTCACTCTGAGACTTCCTTATAATGCCCTTTAATTCCATTTCACTCAAGACAGTACGCAGCTTATCATAGTAGCAGGGAGCCACACGGCGATAAGGGAGTCTAAATGGCTTTTCGTCGACCAGATGAATTTTGTGGACAAAGTCAGTGGCCTCTCCACAGTCCATTTTACTACGTGAGAATGTTGACTCATATTTCTCAATGAGATTCAGAAGTCTGTCCTTCCACTCATCAGATACTTCACAAGCTTCCAGATGTAGATCTTTCAATCCCAACTTATCCAGCACAGCATTTCTTTCCTCACTGGAATGCACATGGACTATGGGACTCTCAGCAGACTGAACATTGCACTTAATGGACTCGGGTACAGACAACTCTTCAACAGCTATACAAGTGAAAACATCCACGATTTTAGTATTCTTCTTAAGGATGATCACTTTCTCTGTTGGATTAATTATTTTGAATGGCACCCATCTACTGCCCCACATAGGTGTGATGACTCTCCCTATGATAACATTTCTTGGACGGCATTTAGATAGGGTTGGTTCAATGATAACTGTGCTCCCTATAGAAACAGTGGTTGATACAGGAAGCTGAGCCCAAACCAGATGTTCATGATTTGGTTGTAGAGTTATTTTCTCCCTTAACTTTGCTGTGCCCACCTTGTCTGGCATGTCTCCTCCTTTCCAGCGTTCAACATTTGAAAGCAGGGACAGAAACTGGTGACATTCAGCATCGTCAGGGTTAGTTGGGCTGGAAACAAGTCTCCAGTATCCATCTGTTTCCTTCATTTTTTGAATTAGCCATTTGATAGCATTGCTACCCAGAATTAAATCATCAGTTTGGCCTGGGACAACTAAAACTGGAACAACCATTGTACAGGCATAAACTGTAAGTTCAAGTTCATACATTGCTTTTGGGATGACACGTTGTCCGCCACAACCGATAATGACAACATCGTTGGTAGGGAGTTTTTGTAAGTTGGGTTTGTGCTGCAACAGCTGACGTTCAGCAGTTTCGCTCAGTGTACATGCCATGGAACCACTGTCAATCATAGCTTTCAGTTAAAGGTCACTCCATATCGTAGCAGGTGTGTAAAACAGACTATCAATTTTCTGTACTTTGTGCGTGTTCTGATAAATGATAATTTTTCCTGCAGGCTCAACAGAATTAGTAAGATTATATACTGAGACCGGGTCACTCATACAACACTGATTGGGAGGAATGTTTTTATGATCTACACCATCCTCCCCTGAGTGTAGATCTGCTAGTTTCCTGGCCCATGAGATGACAGAGATTTTACTCTCTCAGGACAACCAAGGCGGGAATGGTCAGGTGAGTGACACTGAAAACACAGCTTTTTTTCCCGACAGTGTGTGAGGCCAGAGTGATCAGGACTTAAACAGACAGTGCATGGTAGGTCATTTAAACCTTTTATTCGGGGTAAACTCACATTTGGCTTTGATCGTCGACTTGGCTCATTGCTGTTGGCTTCTTTTAACAGGACTTTTTCCAGTAAATTCATGACTCGCTCTAATGCAGAAACTTCCAAGGAACTGGACTGCTGAACATTAGAGGTAGGTGGAAGTGCTGCTGTTGGGAGTTCCACTTCAGTTCTGTTAACAGGAATTTTAATGGATGCTGTATTTCTGACTGCAGCGACAAGACTGGTTTCAGAGTGATATTCATTAAGAATATTATGAACTTCTTGTACAGTCCATTGATCCATCGTTTTAGATCGAAAAGTTATGGCAAGCTCTTTACAAGGACAATGTCTGATGAACATGCGTGTTACCTCAGTTCCTGGACAATCCAGCACTTTTCCCTGTTCCTTTAGGCGATCAGCAGCAACATCAACTGCACGGTTTAACCTCAACCAGTACTCATAAGCACCCTCATCTGGTCCAGGCAGTGTGGTATAGAAATCTGCCAGCGGTAGAGGAGAGCAGGGAGTAGCTTCAAAATGTTTCCTGAGAATACTAAAAATTGCATCAGGGTTATGCACAATGTTCACATCACTGTTCCTTATTCCAAACTTAACCACATCTCTTGCTTTGCCTCTCAGATGGACCATAATCTCCTCAGCTTGCTGTTCTTTCCTCAGATTGTTCCGCTTAATGTAGTCCCTGACGATATCTATCCACTCATTTAAGTCAACAGTGTCAGACATTTTACCTCTGAAGCTTGGAGGTTCTTTCACATTTCTGGAAAATGACATCTGGCTTTGTAATAAGTCCAGCATTTGTGAGCTCGTATTATCTGTAGTCACATGTTTTGGGGAATCAATCACTGGATGTGTCTCAACTGAATGTGTTTGGTTTAATCTAGTCACTATACTATCAGCAATTTGCTGACCAACTTGACTAATTATGTCAGACATTGCTGCGACTAAATTCTGAGGCTGTGAGTTAGGAAATGGGGTAGATGAAAACACGCCCTGTTGCTCCATTGAAGCATTTGACACATGACTATTAGGTAGGCCCTCACAATCCAACATATCTAAATTTGGTAAATCATTTTCTGTATTTGCATGTGCATCGTGCTGTACATTAGGCTCACTGACCTGTAAAGACTGTGGCACTTTTAACAAACCCCATCCTCTACCTTTACTTCAACATACAGGTGTATGAAAACCATCAATATTGCTCATTGTGAATGACTGATCAAAAATCTTAACCCAAAATTAATAAAAAAAACATTAAAATCCACAAATATGCAGCTGATAAAAAAAAGAAAAATTGTCCTTAATAGTAAAATCTGATAAATGCAGTCACTGAGTGAATAAAATTTCGACTTTTCAAATAAATGATCACAGTTCTTGAGCAAAACAGTCCACCTGACTCCCAATGAAACTTTTAGGTGAATCCTCGGCCGCTTCAGACGCCATGTTGATTGAAGAAACAACGAGTCACGGCACCAATGTGACTCTGTGTTGGCGCTGGGATCCTGAAGAATGCTGCGAGTCAGGTAGGTGTGGTCACTTAAACTTCTTTTATTGTCCTGGGACAAACACAGCACCAAAGATTTAGTTGGTTTGCAGCTCTGGTGATATTAGTGTCAGCAGAGAGGCTTCTCAGAACTGCTGGTACATTACATTTTGTCTAAACTTATACATTGTGATGTATAGTGGTTATAAATGTAAATAAAACATACATGAAAATTAAATAAAACTGCCTCTATTCATCTCTCATCCAAATCACTATTTCAATACAGTAACCGTTAGTGAAAATAAACAGTAAGCTTATGTGACCAATAATCAACACTTTTTTAAGAAAAGGAACGACAGAACAGAATAAATACTCATAAACAGCAAAACACATAATTCTAGCACGTGGAAAATGTAGCATATGTGCTACGGCTAACACAGAACATCACAAAATAGTAATTCAACATACCTGGGACAAACACAGCACCAAAGATTTAGTTGGTTTGCAGCTCTGGTGATATCAGTGTCTTAAAGTGAAATAAACAGTTTAAACGTTTCACAAATGCCTGATAATTAATAACTCATTAACCAGCCATCACTCCGTTACATACATATATATACATATATATACATATACATATATATATATACATACATACATACATATATATATATATATATATATATATATACAAACTGAGGCAAGTCTTCATTCATTCATTTTCTTTTCAGCTCAGCCCCTTTATTAATTTGGGGTCGCCACAGCTGAATGAACCGCTTATTTATTCAGCATATGTTTCGCACAGTGGATGCCCTTAAAGTAGCAACCCATCCCTGGAAAACATCCATACACACTCAGTCACACACATACAGTACACTACGGACAATTTAGCTTACCCAGTTCATCTATATAATGTCTTTGGCCTGTGGGGGAAACTGGAGCACTCAGAGGAAACACACAAACACGCAAACTCCACACAGAAATGCCAACTGACCCAGCTGAAACTTGAACCAGCGACCTTCTGGCTGTGAGGTGACCGTGCTACCCACTGCGCCAACGTGATGGCCTGACGCAAGTCTTATTAACTTAGAAAATAAAGCATTGTAATAATTTTTTTTTGTATCATTTAAAAATAAAGATTCACTCAAAAACATTTTTATCAATTTTGCCATTTAACACTTTCTTAGTTCAATATACTAGAATTTGAGGATCTCAAGAGGATTAATAGCAATTGATTTAAAAACAAATCTACTTAAAATTTAGAACATTCATATATATATATATATATATATATATATATATATATATATATATATATATATATATCAATCAATCACTAAAGCAATATGATAAGGTTCGTGGTGCTCAAAAAGTTGTAAAATACTCTAAATAGTCACTGAGCATTTGAGATTAGCTTCATTAACTTTTGATAACTTTAAACCCAGTTCAAACCCAGTTCAAATATCAAATCACTTTGTTCCATTTCAGAACAATTCATTAGGCAATACTTCATAACCACACTTTTTTTTTATTGCACTCGAAGTGTTCAGTCAGGGTACCTGGTTTCTTAACTCTTTTATATTGGACATGGGATATTCTTTCATGGCCACAAACTGTAAATATTGAGCACATCTTTTTGAAACAATGTTTACACCTCATAACCCTAACCATAGAAACTTTTGCATTTCACGATAAAGAACATTTCGTTTATTGTTAAAAAAAGGCATCAAAGAAAAAAAAAAAGGAAACAGTCCACATTTGACCAATGTCTGAAATGAATTAAATTCGTAAAGTAATATCACAACGGAATCACTATATGGTAAACAGAAAACTTGCACTCTAAAACAAGTGAAAATTTGTCAAATCATACATTTAAAAACAAAATGAAAATATCATCTTTTCTGATGCACTGTTTCAGTTAAGAAGATTATGGTTTAAAGTGCCTTGACAAAGTCACTTTGTCAACATGTAAATAAATTATTGTGTAGTCTCAGATTAGTGTAAAAAAATATATTCCATCCATCCATCATGTAGGTCAAATAGGCACCCTATTTTTAAGTAAGCTATAAACTCCTAAATATTCACAAGAAATCTCCATCAGTTTAGTAAGAAGGCAGGTTTCGGGTAATCAAACAAGCTGAAGTCTCCCTGGTAACGAGCATAAAGGCGGCGAATGTCTCGTTGACTGATTCCAGAAAAGTAGCGTTCCACTTTTGTGCGGTTGTAGCGTGTTATACCTGGTGGGATACTGGGGTAAGACACCAGACCAGCAATTCCAGCAGATTTTAAAATATAAGGAGCGTCAAGCTCCAGAGTTTCATGGTGTCCCACAACATTGTAGGAAATATCACAAGGAGCACAAAGCTCAGCATATGTCAGCCAGTGAATAATGTGGTCACCAAACTGCCTGTCCAAGTGCTGTCGGCCTGTTTTGTCACCCAAGTAACGCACAAAATCCTCAAACCGAAGACCAACACTTTCGCTGTCATCGTGGTGGCTTCTGCGATATTTGCGAACAATGGCTGGGGCAATGTCATGTTTGTACCAGGGTTCAAATCTTGGGTTCTTCACAAACTTGTCCTTGAAAGCAGATATAAGGCGCTCAAATGGGTCTCTGACAATAAAGAACTTGAAATAGGAATTCAACCTGTGAAACAAACACATCAGAATAACATTATGTCATATCAGCCATACAATAAAACTTAATACAGTTATAAGTGAGGATGAACAAAGCAGATAAATCAATATTTTAACAATACAGTTAATTGAAAACATTTGCTTAAGATTGCAGCTATACAAAGCAGGTGGAGTTGGTGGTTGGATTTTCAATGAATTACTAAATCATTTAGGATATTTAGTCAACTCGTTTTACATGACCTTCAAAGAACCTTTGTGATCCTGTCTCCATGTTATTATAAGCCCCCCTGTTTATTTTTCTCCCCAATGTCTTTAACAGAAAATATTTTTTTCAACATAGTTGTAAAGATGATAGTTTTAATAACTCCTTTCTAATTACTGATTTATTTTATCTTTGTCATGATGACAGTAAATAATATGTTACTAGATATTTTTCAAGAAACTTCTATAGAGCTTTAAGTTACATTTAAAGGCTTAACTAGGTTAATTAGGTTAAAGTTCAAAAGGAGACTAATAAGTCTGACTTCAACTGTATATTAATTGTTGCTAGACAACAATTAATTTTTGTAATCACGATTTATTGCATGGTTTTCTGTGAAAAAAATGTGATTATTTGATTTGTTATGCATAAAAAACGAATGCTTTTTAAAAAGACGCAGTAAGCATTTTATTTTCAAAAGTATAGAGTAAGTGTATGAACAAGAACAAAACATATTCCCATAGCATTTTGGCAGTTACAATATTTTAAATCTCAACTTTAATGGCATAGTCAAATTGAATTTACAACCAAAGGTATTTGCCACTACCAGAGCATAAAAGGTTACCAAATTTGTAATAGAAATTAAGTTAAGTTCAGATTTTAGAGGCTTGATAACAGACCCTTTTTCCCATTTCCGGGTCTCTCAGAAAAACTCCACTATGGTGTTATCAAGACTTTCAAAAAAAGGAAAAAATTGTGTGAGACTGATATCAAATTTACTCTCAGCCCCATAGAAGCTGCATTAGAAACACCTTGTATAAGAGGTAATTCTTTTTTTTTGTAATTTCACGCAAAGATAACATAATATATTTATAAATGCATATAAATGTTCATACATTTTTTTATTATTTAAACATTAAAAATGTTCAAGGATTTAATATTATGATGACCGTTAAATGTGTCAGGCGACAGGCTTGTGAAGAGGGTCTACAACAGGACAGTTGCAAGCAACATCAACTTAGCATTCAGAAATGTATTTTGTAACCAGTAAAAACAAAAACTTTTCATTTTATCAGGAAACTACATAAATGGTCCATTCTGTAGCAGCTGCCACTGTTAGGAGTGAGGTAAAGTGTTTGAAAACAACGAATTTTAATCTGTGAAGTACATGCTTGTACTCAATTTTCTTTGAATAATAAACAACTAACATGTCAAGAAATAGAAATAAAACAAAATCAACTCAGCATTTATGTATTCCTCTCCACCAAGCGAGTTGCTAAAAAAACACTAGATTCTTTATTTAGTTGAAAATGTAAATGAACTCCCCAAAGGAGTCTGCTGAGCCCTAAAGTTACTTCATTCACTGTTTGCGTGCATGATTTGGTAGCATCAATGGTGTGTACTGTATTCGAGTGATGACTTGAAGTACTTTGGTGATATGGAAACTCTGCTTCAGTAGTGACAAAGCTTTGATTTTGACAACTTCACCATTTACTGAAAATGTCCATTTAAGAGCTTGCTACTTTTATCCATATTATTGTACCAATCCAGTTCATGTGAGAGCTAGTGATGGGTCATTCTTGAATGATTCGTTGATTTTGAACAAATCTTTTATTTGAATCGAGAAAGTCCTGCATACACACATTGTCCAGGTGTAGGAGAAGGTTAGTTCATTTTTGAGTTCTCTATCAAGTGTTATCAAAAATTTGATAGGTTCATTTCTTGAGTTATCATTTTCTTTTTTTTGAGTCATCTCTTTATATACAGAAGCAACGGCAGTCTTAGTCCTTCCCGAAATGCTCTCATTGGTTGGGAAGTGTGAGAATTATGTTACCCATGCCAATACTAATCAATTATCCAACCTCTTGTGACCTATGGCTTCCCAGTATGTGTATTTAAAGCCAATAAACAACGAAGTTTCAAAATATTATCGATAAAATAATTGATGCCATTGATTAATTAATTTATGCATGAACTGCATAATAACGCATTAAACTGTCCAGCATTAATGGTCATCAGTGCCACTCTGGAAAACGAAGAACACCTGCACACCCTAGGTCCAGGCTGATCAGCGCCAGCTGCAGCTAATCAACCACAAGCTACAGAAGCCTTACAAACTCAGCCAGAGTGGGAGACACATCTCTATGAGACAGAGCACTAACGCCTTCACTTTTTCCTCTTTCAGACAGCAGCTAATGACCGATCAGCCATCCTGGAGCACTATACTGACAGCCTGCAGAAAAGAGAACAACACACAGCGGTGCACCACCCTTAATCGCACTTGTTTGTCACAATTAAAAATAAATCCACCCTCTGGGACCTACACTTTAATCCTACTTGTTGTGTGATTCTTTTCCCATTTACACTGATGGAGAATGCAGGCAAAAGAGTGAAGAATCACTGATGCACAGACCCCTTAATTATTATTATTTTTTTAGGCAAACATTCCCGTTGTTTCAACATAGACCAACTTCTCCAGTGGCTCATCAAAGTTAGCCTTTGCCAGTAGCCAAGCACCTGGCCACTCGACAGGAGCAGACAGAGCAGGAGCTCTTGGGCCCATGCATAGCTGCCACTCAACGCTTTTTGCTGCCAGACCCTCAAGTACGCGCCACTCAGATCCTACCAAAATTGACCCCCATAACGTCATCGACTCCTATCTAAAGGTGTTTGAGACCACCGTCACAATGTAGGGGTGGCATGTCAATGACTGGGCACAGGCTTTGGCCCCCTGCCAACGGGTGAGGCACTGTGAAACTGATTGCTCTGTGGAAGCGAAGTGGGAAACTCTGGCCCATCTGGGACTATCACCAACATGTGCAGGTCAACAATTTTTTGACTGGGTGTAAAACCCCACCTGCCAGCTCATGCCCAAGCAGCTAATCTAGCTCGGCTCACGCAATACTGTGTTTTTCGAGGGGCACCCAACAGCCAGCCAGGTAGCAGAGCGAGTGGTCATGAACAGACTGATCCGGGCTCTCCCTCGGTCACATCGTCGACAAGTGGGGATGAGAAACCTGTCGACCACCTTGGAGCTTGTCGAGGCCATTGAGCTGGTGGATACAACCCTAAACAGGGAAGGAGGGCAGCGAGCACTGCCTTTCCACAGAGGGTGGTCCAGGAGCAACACGCATCGGAGGCAGGCTGGTGGCTTACTTTCCACAGAAGGAGCCAATGCCCATGGGGATTTTGGTGCCCCCTTCCTGAACCTGGCTGTCAGGTAGTATTGTCCATTGGGAGCTGCCTGAGAGAGAGCCCCTGAAGCAGATGTTAAAATTAATGGCAAGCCATTTTGCCCTCCTGGACCCTGGAAGTGCAATTAGTCAGGTACAGGGTGAATCAGTGCACCCCTGGCTGGATCAAAAATCTCCTTGCCATTCACCTGTGTCCACTGGGGACACCTGAAAAGTTCCAGCTGGCAGTGTGACCATTTCCAAAAACTCGACACATGACCAGTAGAAGTTGGGAGTGGTAAAAGACTTACCAGTGCACGTGCTGCATGGTAGAGACTGGCCTGAGTTTGATCGCTGCTAGCCACCACTGCCCTGCCTGCCAGCTCCAGAGGGAGCCCCCGTCGACGGAGGCAGAGTCGAAGACCCCATCAGAGGCCTGTTCTTTTGGTCCCGGACTGGACTGCAGGAGAGACGGTGAGTCCTCTTCTCAAAATTCTAACCTGTTCTATGTGTTCCAAAAGGTCAAGGGAGGGTGCTCATTCGCAAAAGAACAACACGGGTACATCAGGCTGAAATACTACCGGACCCAAGCCTGAGTTCTGCCAATCCTGTTTCACCCCTCCCCCGGTCTACTCATCCAGTTACCCACCACTGAGGTGCACTTCGAGCGTTTTGAGATGGATCTATGCCTATGTCTGCCCAGGGACATGAGCACATCCTGGTGATTGACTACCCAAAAAGCCCCCGCCAATGTCATTGTTTAGGAGCTTTTCCTGCTCTCTCTGCATCCCACCAGAGATCCGGACCGATCAGGGTTCTCTCTTCATGTCCAGGCTAATGGCAGATCTTTGCAGGTTGCTGAGAGTGAAGCAGTTGAGGACTACAGTCTACCACCCACAGATGAATGGCTTGGTCGAGTGCTTTAACAAACCTGTTAAACAGATGCTGAGGTCGATTGCCACAAAGGACAAGCGCAATTGGGACCTCATGTTGCCCTATGCCTTTTTTAGCGTCCATGAAGTCCCACAGGCCTTAACTGGTTTCACCCCATTTGAGCTCCTCTGTGGCCGACAACCCAGGGGCCTTTTGGATGTGGCAAAGGAGGCCTGGGAGCAGCAGCCTGCAGCCCATACTTCTGTTAGGCAGAAAATCACAACAGGCACAACAACACCACTATAAACAAAAAGCTCAACCATGGTAATTCCTTCCAGGAGACGTAAGGTTCGTCCCAAATCAAACAAACTTACGGACTGTTCTACGCCATTTTGTAGTATAAAGTGTAAGTGGTACATTCACACCATAAACTGTACAATATATGGACGTAGTATCCGTGATGTCACCCATAGGTTTCTGAACACAGCAGAAAAAGCTACAAGTAGGCGCGGCCAACCATCACCATTTTGTTCTCGTGTCATCACACCTACGGCGGGATACCAAACAAGGGCAAAGAGGCAGAGTGAGCGGAGCTACAGACACCTGCAGGCATTTTGCTTGGACCTGGCTTAGACAGACTTTACTTTGGGTGAACGCTTAATCCTTTATTACATGCGACTCGTTTGTGTTCTGACCACATGTGCTTGGCTGTACACTATATCAATAAAGTGTTTAGACTTTTAAAAACACTGTTGTAACACATTGAGCCACTAAACATTGTTCTTATGACGTTTTTCTACAGGAGGAAAACGCAAATTACTTTCAAACACTAGTGCTAAGTCTATATAGTCTGTGTTAGTAGATTCAAGACTATTGATGAAATCCAGGCCTAAAACTGTGTGACAACACTTCAGATTAGGGTTGCACGATACATCGTTTCAGCATCGAAATCCCGATGTGATTATCGCGGATGCGCACATCGCAGGAGGTGCGATGCAAAGCAAAAAAAAAAATATATATATATATATATATATATATATATATATATATATATATATATATATATATATATATATATATATATATATATATATGGGTGGAGCCGAACCCGAATACGGTATTCGGATAAGCACGAATAGCGTGTTTTTACGAATACTTATTTAGAACAAATACTAGAAAAAAGGTTACTGACACAGGCTGCTGCTCCACACAGCAACAGAGAAGGCTTGGCAGAGCGAAAAATACTGCATTACTATTTTTGTTAAATAATTTTTTTTTCATCATACTAAAATAACACGTGACAGAAGTTCACTTAAAAGTGACACTTCCGTCATTCCTACTACTTTCAGAACATAAATTTTGATATTTTAACATATGAAAATGCAATGCAGTTATGAAAATTGTGAAATTAAAGCAATAGTGCAGAGTAGGGTTGTAACGGTATGAATTTTTTACGGTATGATAATCGTCTAAAACAATACCACGGTTTGACGGTTTCGCGGTATACGGTATGTTACAAATGTTACAAAATAATAGAACATTGAAGCAAATTTGACTTTTTCTAAATAATATATTTTCAGTTGCTATAAACAACACCACTTACAATGAACAAATAAAAAGAAATAAGAAAATAATAAATAATGTGTCAAAGTCTAAATAAAGTCCAAATAAACATGGTGCAAATCCTCAGTAAAAAAATAGATATAAATATTTACTATACTATAAATAGTTACATAACGAAACTAGATTCAATATGGAACATCCTTAGGTTTTATGTGCCAGCATGGATATGGTTGTCTGTGGATATGGATTTGGATATGGTTGTCTGCAATGCAGACAAACAGCTGCACCTTCATTTGCGTCTTTTGAAAACAGCAAGAGCAGCAGTTCGTCTTTGCTGTGTCACTGTTTTGTCATGTTTCTGTGCTGCTGTGCATGCAAAAGTACTTAGTATGAGAATTATTTCATGCAAAATTTTTTTTTTTTTTTGCGTTTTATTTAACCGTGCATAAATGTATGCCTATCTTTCATTCCTTGTTGTTCAAAAAGCTCATTGTTGGTCCACAAACAAAAGCGAAACCTATGCTTATTAGTTGAGTGATAGCGAGTTTGAACCAATCTGGGCATGGAGGAGGGACAATGCATCAATGTATCATGTCTGGTTTGTCCGGAGACACAGTGACGAGCGTTTCTTTGTCAAATCAGCGTTGTGAAATTTTGATGACGTAACCGCACTGATTCCGGAGCTCTGAAAGTCCGCGAATGTTATGTGATACAGCACTGGAAAGCTGAGATTCTCTTCTTTATGCCAATCTTTGAATTGTATGAATCAGATCAGCGGATCAAAAGTTATTAAACATTTAAGAGCAATACTTATTTTTAGCCGCGGGCGGCTGTCTCGGTCTTTAAGGGTTAAAACCGTTGATATGCAATTGTTCATGGTATGATAATCGTGCACGTTCAAATCGTGGTAGACCGTCATACCGGTACATTGTTACAACCCTAGTGCAGAGATCTAGTCCCCGCGTCTGGTCAGGGTGCACCTGTAACCTTTAAAAACGCAGATGCGGAGGCGCACTTACCTCACACACAAAAGAACTGGGCATTCAATTCATGTTTTAGTTAAATAATTATTTAAATACAGCTCTCTTGATCTTTAAAGGGGAAAAAAACGCAAAAGAAATTTGTCGTTAAATTAATTTTAGCAAAGACGCAACTGCCTGTCCTTTTCACATTCATTTTTCAGTTAGGGATTAGGTCTATTAGAGTAACCTAATAAAAATGTTTTTGTTGGACACTGTAGTCTACACATTAATCAATATTATAATTTATTATATACATTATTATTAAAACTAAACTATACAATTGATAAAACAAAACCCTTTTTAATGTTTGCTTTCATTTTGATACCGCTAACAATTGTAATAAGAAACATCACATTTTGCAGAAGCAGTCTCAAGTTAAAGATACCTTATGAGTTTAAAGATGATCAGCCTGCCAAGTCAAGTTTACAGTGTCATAAATGAAATAGGTAGCATGAGTAAAGGGGATTTGTCCAGCACACAACCTCTTATGCCGAGTTCAGACTGCATGATTTTTAAAGTAGTCGTGTCACAGATGTTTTCACACTGCATGATTATCTGAGCTAGCATTTCGTCACTGCTTTGTTTACACTGCAAGATGGATCGGCCACAGGGACATTCACATTGCATGACTTTACTATAGGAAGAATCGCCGACAACTTAGTCCAAACTACGTCTCACAGCCAAAAACACGTAGTATATCTTTTGTTATTAACTACATAATGAGAAAGAAGCCTTTAATGGGGTATAACATGTACATGTTTGCTCGCCTGGGTTTAAAGGGAACTAGCCATTTCTCCTCAAAGTTGATAATAAACTAATTTCTTTCTGTATGAAATGTCAAACAGACACAGTTGCTCCTGAGTCCTGTCAAATCTCCACTAGTTTTCCTCCGTTTCGTGGGTCCAAATAAACCGAAAAAGAGCGCTTTTAACTTCTCCCCCAGCCTCCCGCTGGCCTGCAGCAGGTATACAGACACGCACACATAAGTGAAAGCTGCTCTCTCATTGGCTGTAGGCGATGGCTGATGTTATTTTCAGTCAAAACTCAATTCACACGGCATGATTTGAATCGCCGACAGCTCCAGATATTTAGCATGCCAAATATCTCACAGGCATCGCCGACTCATCGGCGATTCTCTCAGATCGCGTCTTTGAAAGTTCATACTGTATGATTGTCACTCACGTACACGAGCAGCGATTCGCCTGGGATTTCAGGCATTTGTCTGCGATTTCTCAAAACCTGTCGGCGAGCCAAAATCGGGGCTAAAATCACGCAGTCTGAACTAGGCATTATATGCGCTGCAGGTAGGCTGAATGATAATCTTTAAAAATATATATGCAATACAAAACTTTAAACATTTATGTTTTTTTTAAATAAAAAGAAAAGAAATCAGGAGAGTAAAATATAATTTAAACCACTGGTCTGGCGCAGATACTTCATTGTTTGTAGCGAGAAGAAGAAGAAAAAAAGCAGATGAAAACCTGGCTGGGGAGACGGCGATAACATGAATTATCTGTTCTTCAGAAAAGATCACGACATTGTGAGGCGTTTATCATACAACGCAAGTCGTGTTATAATCATTAATATTAACTAATATTAATTCTCTCTCTAGACTTTGAAAGATTAAGCTCTTGCATTTTTTTTTTATTGTATCCTTTGCGCAAGTTATTTATCTATCTATTATAAGTGGTGAGAACATTATTTACTGGCAAACATGTTCCTAGATCTCGTACATCAACAAATAAAGTAGCCTACCCAAGTTAATTTACCTTTTATGTAAAAATTAAGGAATAACTTAATTAAATATTAATAAATAAAACATCCGTATAAGTGTACGTGTTTATTTTTGAACTTTCGTTAATAAAGCAACACAAAACTTTTTATAACTATTGTAGTTAAATATTAAATAACTTTAACTGCTTGAAACCGTATAATAATAACAATTAAACGTTACATTTTACTTAACAAATAGCGTAAATGGCACTTTAGTAATCAGTGTAATAATAATATAAATATTAATAATTATAAGTAAAAAGAAAATATTAACCTAGTAACAATATAAGTCAGATGTTTAAAAAAACAGCGTAGGTTCTCTTCACCTTTTGTATTTTGTTTTAAATTATTTGCCAGAAAAACTAACATGTTGACTTTGTCCGGTTTAATTGAAGAATGGGGTTATAATGTTTCCAGCAATACACTGTCAGACGGTGTGCTTGTAGGGAAAATGCATAGACAGGCTACTTTTTCACAACCATGCAAGAGAGAGTTTCTTGCTTCTGTTCCACCGCCCGCATTTCTCACAACGCAGGTTTCTCTACTCTGCAGAGCGTTCTTAACTAGATACCAAATACTGGCCAGCCAATCAATCTACTAAGTAAATGATTAATAAAATGATTTTTAAAAAATGCGGATAAGGTGCATTTATTTGACAAAAAACTAGTCTTCACATAATTGTTTATGTTAAGTGAACTAATATGAACCTTTGATGGATTTCTGTGTCAGTCATAGAAGACAGGCGAGGTAAGCCATTTCTTTCATGGTCATGAACTAGGTTCTCTGGTATAGCTTCAACCTTGGAGAACTTTCCTGAAAAACAAACACAAAAAAACAGCATGTTTTACATTCAAGAAAGACACACAATTTGCCATAATTCATCTTATTTGAGGTATAATGGAAAAAAGTTTTTATTAAGCTGTAAAATTTATCAAATGTTATTTTCATTCATTTTACTTTTTACATGAACACGTCTTACCATTAAGGACAATGAGAACCTTTTTCCATTGTGTGTTTCCAACTTTGGGTGTCTGACAGAAGAGTATCTTGTGCTTGTCACAAACAAAAATGCGGTCCAAGACAAACTTGCGCACAGTTGTGTGAGTAAGGTTCCAAATAGATGAATTGCTGCAAACTGTTGACAACTGCTCCAAACGCTTCTCGTTCACTAAGTGCCAGTCTATGGGTTCCACCACAGAGGGACTAACTGAAGACTAATAAGCAAAACCATTAATATAAATGACACAAAAAACATTCATGTAAAACTAAAAACAATTCAAGTTGCTTTGGATAAAGCAAAAATATAAACCAACAAACTGTCTCACCAATATATATGGCTGTGATGCTCCCTTTTCCGGCCACACAACTGAAGGAAGTTTTGTAGTAACAGATGACAAAGTCCAAACAAATATCTCTGACCTCCCTGCGTAGTCTAAAAATGAATCAAAGGGAAACATTGGGAGTGCCTTAATGCCATTTATATGTCAAAATTGTCAATGTTGAAGTTGTAATTTGTAATTTGTAATGAAGTTACAAATTAGAATAGTAGAATAACCATAAAACACATTTAATTGCGTATATCTTTAAATTTTTTGCTCAGGATAGTTAAACATACCACCTGGTATTCTGAAGCTGAAGTTGATGAACTTGCTGACAAACATAAGAATAAGTAGCACCCAGCCACAAGCACCAACCAGCAACCAATGACGGCGCATCGTTGGCAAACAAACTGGCTGACAAATCCTAAAAAAAAATAAATAAATAAAATAAAAATTGGAGTTCGGAAATTAGTTAAGAGATGTTTATTAATTTTACTGTGCATTCCAGAAAAGTAGCTAAAGGATGTGATAAGAGATGACATGGTTTATGTGTTTTCCCCACACCATTTGGTGTAGCACTGAGGAAATAATTATTAAAACAGAGGCCAGACACACATTCCAGCAAGAATACAGCAAACTGTTGAATTCGTTCAACAATCGAGTAACTTAAAAAAAAATGTAATTAGCACATTTAACTTCTCTGTTTAATGCAGAATAAAGAACAAATTAGTTTGGTCTTATTTTAAAAAAAAAAGAGAGACACTTGACAGTAGGCTTAAGTGGTAATACAGTAATATGGTATAACGCAGGATCTAAAAATAGCAACGATGTCACTTTCAATACTGTTAAACCGTCATAAAAACAATTCACTTAAATAGGAGACAAGTATTAAATAATAAATATTATTTATTTAATGGCTAAAAATGAATATGCATGATTGTCATAACAGGACCGTGTGGAGGAGAGAGAGATAGAGGTGAGGTAAGATGGTGAGTCGCGCACCAAGTAACCTGCAGTTTGGCAGTATTTCCTTCTCGTTCATACAAAACTAGGAGACGTGGTAAATACGAGAGGTCTACATTCCCGCTGCTGTAGCCCGGGAGCCATGGGATCCGACCAGATTTCTTGCACTGCGGGAATAAATTTACGAAAAAAGCGCGGGAGCGGTCGGTAAATTTGACCGGTGGTGTAATTTGAAAGGGAGCAGGAGCAGGGGCGCGGTCTAACAATATCGCTCCTGAGCAAGCGAGCACAAGCGCATATATATGGATGCTGTTTATATGTTTGTGAATGAGAGATGCTGTGTGTCGCTCTGTGTGTGTGTGTGTGTATGTGTGCGCAGAGATGGCAAAAGTACACAAATCCTTTACTTAAGAAGACGTAACGATACTCATGTTTAAAATTACTTTGGTAAAAATAAAACTTTTGTACTCAAGTAAAAGTAAAGTAGCGCCTCAAAAATGTACAAAAGTAAAAAAGTCCAAAGACATGAGGTATAGATGAATAATAGGGAGTAATTGGCAGTAGTGTATAAGTGTGTGTGTGTGTGTGAATGTGTGTATGGGTATTTCCCAGTACTGGTTTGCAGCTGGAAGGATATCCGCTGTCTAAGACATATGCTGGAATAATTGGTGGTTCATTCTGCTATGGTGACCCCTGATACATCAGAGACCAAGCTGAAGGATAGCGAGTGAGGATAGGCTGATGCAAACTCACAGCATTCAGCATGTAGTTTTTCAGCTGTTAGATAAAAAAAAAATATCAGCTGCCGTTCATGTTGATTCACTCTACAAAATATTCTAGAATAATTCAATAAATTGTTTTACATTTTACACTGAATTCCGTCTAAAATATATTGCATGTTTTTTCTTTTGCTAAATTAAATTCTTATCAATTTTGACTGCAAAGTGCAAACTTTTTTTTTTGCATTAGGCTAAAGCTGCTTATTTCTTCAAAGAGCATGTCTTATACATAACCCATTATTTTAGTGTTTTTGTACTTTCAGGTGTTGTGGTTATTTTATTTAATGAATAAACATTAAATCTGTAACAGTTTTTCTCTGGTGCAATTCTCAGATCAGAATTGAAATTCTCAAAACTCCCTGTTCAATCTTCACATCATCGTGTCACTTCCTGTACATCAGGAAAGCAGTTTCTCAATATGAACAAGTTGCAAATGCTTCCATGCAAATGATTATGTGCAATTCTCTGATGCTTCCTACATTATCAATTGCTGATGTAATGTTGATCAAACTATTATTTTGGCCTCTGTTGAATCTTTTCCCTCCCCACAACATTTAATTGTTCGTTCATGGCATTTCCTTACATGAAAAATGGCTGAACAAGTTATCATATATTTTGTCAATGCATTTTTATACATTTCCATTAGAATTTTTTTCCTAAATCACTTTACAATTTGTCAATTTCTCCCAGGTAAATCTTGACTTTTTTAATGAAGGTCTAAAAGAAGGTTGTCCTATGTTCACATTTTTACTTTGTTTTTTTCTTTGTGTTATGCAGTGCTGTATTTTCCTATTCTGTATCACAATGACATGATCTGGCAACAAATTAATGTACAAACAGCCAAACAAAATATTGCCATAGTTTAGATCAGAACAGCCCTCCAGAGTACACTAATACTGACAACATGATAATATTGAACACAATGATAGAAGAACTTGCCATTCTGAAGCCACTGACATGTACATTGAAACAGAAAATTTGTTTTGAGAGCTGAACTAATTGAGCAGGAGAGCTTTTGCAGGTAACCTGTGGTGTTTTGCTAATTATATGCGTTGTTTTGAGAAATACACTTATGCTCACTGTTTTGCAAATTTCACTTCTGATCTAAAAAAATGTCGCAAAGTGACTGAGAAAAACTGTAATACATTTATTCTATGCTAAAAGCAACATATACAGGCATGACTACAACCTATAAAACATGTACATGATCATTTTTCATGTGATAAATTCAGGATATTTTGCATTATATTTTTATTCATAAATTAACCAGTATAGTTACTTTTGTTGTTGTAAAATATTTGTTAAAATTATTAATTTAAGACAGCAGTTTAGGCCTATGTAAAATCATGTGGTCAAAAGGCAAAAAACTGAAAAACAGCATAAATTCTGTATTAGGAAATATGAACTTATCAGAAATAAAGGAAATTAACTATATTACTCTTGTTCTTTCTGTGGAACTTCAGATTCTGTTGCTCACTTCTTTGGGATAATTAATTTTTTTTGAAAATTGTAAATGTAATGTAAAGACTCTAATTGTCCAAAAGATTTGTTTTTCTTTAAGCTATAGACATGTATTACATTAAAGAAAAGCAATTCCTTAATTCGGGTTAATAATATGCAAAGTTTTTTTTTTTTTCGGGATAATATGCAAAGTTTTTTATATACCTGTGTAAATATAAAAAATGAAACCAAATTTTGTATTTTTTAAACAGGAAATGGATCTGTACCTACCCTTTCAGAGACTCATAAAACAAAGCATAATATTTTCCATAAATTTGTATTATTTTATTCGTGTGCCCCTCTCTTTTTTTATTGTCTTTTTTGTCACTATCTTTCTCTTTGCCATTGTAAAACTTCTTTAAAATTGTTCTCTTTTCGTGCGATATATTTACATTGTATTATACTTATTCTACTGTATTTTTTTATTGTAATCGCCTGTTATTGCAATAATAATAAATAACATTATAAGGTAAATTAATACATTCAGATGTCGTGCAGAACAGACTATTTATTCAAGGCCAAAAGACGTGACGTGATATCAATTTCCGTTTTGGATAAATTTTCAACCATGACGGGACGTGTAGGGGACGCCTTTTTACCGGTCATCGGACGTTGATTGTTTGCTGGGTACAAAACTGTTAAAACCACGCTAAGCAGTAGCGAGTCAATGTTATTGCTTTTCTTACAGTTTTTATAATTAGAAGATAAACGTTTAAAATGCAGTAATGGCCCACCTTTCACTGCTCGCCTGTAACTTACATATTGCAAACAGTCCAGTCCAAACCTTTTCATTGAAAATATTCTATAATCTTCTCTTGTCGGAGCTCCCAAAGTAACTTCGGGATCTGTAATCCGCTCAACGTTAATGTTAGTTGCATCCGTAATCAGTTCTTAGTACCTTTCTCTGTGATACGTACAGAATCGATACACATAACTGCGCTGCTGTTCTTCTTTTTGTTTTGCATTCGGCATCCAACGAAAAGGTGCATTACCGCCACCTACTGCGGTGGATTGTTGGTTTGAGTCAACCATAGATATATACAAGAGATATCGCATAGGGACCCTGAGCATGCGTCAATAGCGCCGCCACATTGGTACAGTGCTCCCAGGACAAATGTCATTCAACCGCACTCAAGACAGTGTTATTACGTGAAGATGCAGGACTTTAGCGCTGTCTACGGGTGTAGTAACGAGCAAACAAAGAAAACAAAGCACAAAGGCAGAACATTTCATAGGTAATAATAAGTTTTTTTTGCGATTTTTGTATGTTCTGAACTTTTGTGCTAATCAGGTAACGTTAACGTTATATCTGATACAGTCACTTACTGCACTCACCATACGACAAAGCAGTTCCAAATCGCACTAAACACTCGGCTTATGCTAGTTTTGTTTAATAAAATCAGCAAACAATGCAAAAGAAATATGACAACGAGATGCTGCGCTGCCAGAAACTTGTATTATTGTCGGCTAACGTTAGTGAAAGAGTCGTTCGGGGGATTCATTCACAAACGAATCGCTCCCTCCGTCAGTATGAGAAGTGAAAGCGGGAGAGGAGGTGTGTTTCAGGACACGGATTAGATTAAATTTATCAAACACAAGCTTTTTTTGTCAAGAATGCCAGTGCGGTTTCTGATACATCAATGTAGAAAAATGGTGTAAAATTATAATTTTCGTAATTAAAAAAATAATAATTACATACTAACATCCAGGAAAACTCCCGATCATAGATATAAGTGTATATATATCTCCGGCTTTGGATGGCCACAGTCCTCCACTGTACCTTGGTCCCGCATTCATTTCAAAGGAGCGCTACCAAGTAGCAAGATGGCGGCGCTATTGACGCATTCCGTCCACTAGACAACAATAGGCCAGGCGACATCTAATGTATATATCTATGGGAGTCAACAACCTACTTCTTCCTTGATGTTTAACGGCGGTCGGCATCCAACGTCAATGGTACATTACCGCCTTCTTCTGTACTGGAGTGCAGACCGAATTTGCACAGAGATAATACTGTTCCCTATTACTTCATACTCCCCATCACCACCATTGCCTCTTTTTTATTTATTTTATTTACTTATTTATTTACTTATTTAATATTATGTGCATACATATATACATACACACAGGTACACACACACACACACACACACACACACACACACACACACACACACAACAGCCTACAGACATTCATATACTTTTCATACCATAACTATACAATTTAACTCTTCTGTATATACTATTTGCTACAGAGACTTTTAGGAAATATAAGAAATGTGTACTAATGTCTCTTGATGTTTTTCTTAGTTTTTCCAAGAGAGCACCCTTGAACCCCCATTTTTTGTATATAGTTTTGTTTATCGGGAGTATGTTGTTGTATTTTGCACTGTCTGTATATTGCACTTTCTGGAGCCAGCCCCTAAACTTTTTACTCATACACATGCTGCTGCTGATTGCCTGTTGAGTATGTGTGTGAATGAGTGTTTATGAATATTTACCAGTGATGGGTTGCGGGTGGAAGGGCATCCACTGCATAAAACACATGCTGAATAAGTTGGCGGTTCATTCCACTGTGGCAACCCCAGATTAATAAAGGGACTAGGCTGAAAAGAAAATGAATGAATTAATGAATAAATGTCCCCCGATAATGTCAACAGACTGGACTGTCTTAGCAACTAGCAGGATGTAAAGGGGTACTAAGCAAAATTGTTTCTATTTTATTATTAATGTTCTCTTACAAATGCAATCCAACTTTTCAATAAGCACAATTGTTTGCATTAAATACCTTATTATTATAATTTTCCAATTTCCATATTTGCAACGCCTGTATTTTTTTGCAGTCCACTTAGAATCCAACATGGAAATCATATTTGTTTTTTATTGACATTGTTTTGAAATTCAAATGGCACTGTTTTTTTTTTTTTTTTTTTTTGTATTATCTTGATGTTTTATTGTGGGTATGTTGTTTACAGGAAGAAATCCGTGTTACAAAAAAAAGCAAAAATTCTGATAAAAAAATAGTATTTTGAAATTAAACAGATTTTTTGTCTTGAGTTTACATCAATTTTACATTTGAATAGCCAAAATTACAAGGGTATCTGCTGCTTTAAACATATAATAGATAAGTTGGCAGTTCATTTCTCTGTGGCGACCTGATTTATAAAGGGACTAAGACGAAAAGAAAATGAATGAATGTTTGGTCACTCCCCCAAACCTTTTTTTGACAAATTAAATTAAATAAATATATATTTTTAAAATTATTATTTTTATTATATGCAGTTAAACAATTTTTACAAAAAAATAATGAATTACATTGATTTCTCTTGTTCTTTCTTACTTATTCCGACTGTTGCTCACTTATTTAGGATCGTTAAATTTTTTTTTTATCTGATGTGAAGACTGATTGTCCAAAAGATTTTTTTTTTTTTTTGCAGTCCACTTAGAATCCTACATGAAAATCATTTTTGTTTTTTATTGGCATTGTTTTGAAATTCAAATGGCACTTACTGTGTTTTTTTTTTTTTTTTGTATTATCTTGATGTTTTATTGTGGGTATGTTGTTTACAGGAAGAAATCCGTGTTACAAAAAAAAGCAAAAATTCTGATAAAAAAATCGTATTTTGAAATTAAACAGATTTGTTGTCTTGAGTTTACATTGATTTTACATTTGAATAGCCAAAATTACAAGTTTCAGCCTTTTAATTGCGAATAATCATGATTGATCGCTAAAATGTGTGATTTATTAGTTAACTTTAATAATCTATTGACAGCACACACTCACACACACACACACAAAATATATATATATATATATATATATATATATATATATATATATATATATATATATATATATATATAGGCATGGCAAGGCAAGTTTATTTATATAGCACATTTCATACACAGTGGCAATTCAAAGTGCTTTACGTAAACAAGAATAAAGACACAAGTAAAATTAAAATAAAAACAAATAATAAAAATGCGTCAAAACAAAACAAAAACAGGAAAAATGTGATATAAAAGAATGAAGAAGAGAAAAACATGATAGTGCAATCTGTTGGACGCAGCACAGTGCTCATTCAGTAAAGGCACAGCTAAACAGATGTGTTTTCAGTCTTGATTTGAATGTGCCTAATGTTGGAGCACATCTGATCATTTCTGGAAGCTGATTCCAGCAGCGAGGGGCATAGTGGCTGAAAGCTGATTCACCCTACTTTGACTGAGCTCTCGGAACTTCTACTTTATATGATCCTAAAGATCTGAGTGATCTGTTAGGTTTGTATTCAGTGAGCATATCTGTAATGTATTTAGGTCCTAGGCTATTTAGTGATTTATAGACCAGTAAAAATACTTTAAAATCTATTCTGAATGTAACTGGCAGCCAGTGTAAAGACCCGAGGACAGGTGTGATGTGCTCTGATTTTCTGGTTCTGGTTAGAATTCTGGCTGCAGCGTTCTGGATGAGCTGCAACTGTCTGACTGTCTTTTTAGGAAGACCAGTGAGGAGTCCATTACAGTAATCCACCCTGCTGCTGATAAAAGCATGAACAAGTTTTTCTAAATCTTCACTAGAAACAAAGCATCTGATTCTTGTATGTTTTTGAGATGATAGTATGCTGATTTACTGACTGCTTTGACATGACTATTGAAACTCAGATCTGACTCCAGAGTCACACCAAGATTCTTGACCTTATTTTTTGTCATCTGACCTTTAGTGCCAAGGTACGCATTTACCTTGAGAACCTCATCTCTGTTCCCAAACACAATCATTTCTGTTTTCTCTTTGTTTAACTGAAGAAAGTTTTGGCACATCCAATTGCTCATTTCATCAAAGCATTGGCAGAGGGTGTCAATAGCCGCATTTCCACTATCGGGCCAGTGCGAGCCAGGGCTTTAATCGGGCCGGGGCGGGCCAATAGCCCGGGAGGTTGAGAAATGAGGCTGAAATCATGTCGCGTTTCCACTGTCGGGCTAAAGCTCACAGCGCGTCACGCAAACACCGCCCACAGAACGTCCCCGAATCAAACGTCACACAACCCGCCCACTTCAGCGGGAATGAGGCAGATAAAGCACACCATAGAATCATCACGAAACGAAACCATTAAAATGAAGACAACCGAAACAAACAAACGACACGTAACTGTACAGCAGTACATTATATGTCTATACGCACAGACCTGTGTATTTCCATTCATTACATTTGTTTACTCGCCGACCGACTGCATTGTGCATGGAGTGCTCTCGCCACTAACGCAGGGACCCAACACAGAGAGCGCACACATCCAAAATATAAAGCCACAGAAATTCTCCTTTATAACTCGATATGGCATGTATATTTTAACATCCTCGTGTTGATAGAAGTCGTGTTAAGTTTTCAGCACAAGAGCGAGAAGCCTAATAAAATATAGCCATATTTGTTGCGCTCGGCAGCTATTCACTAAAACTCTTCATTTAAAGTTTCATTTATAAATTTAACCACGTCATATAAAAACATAAACAGTTGTTTGAGGATATAGAACACGTTTTGTGTTTGGACTTTCCCCCATATGCGTTTAAAGCAGCGAGCGCTGCGCAGGACTGAGTGACAGGAAAAAAGGTATAGGAGATTCTGCTTTCACTCACCCAAATTATGCTCTGTTTGCGCGATTTGATTAATATCATCGTATCCAAATACTTTATAAATATTTACTTATATAAATATTTACTTTATATAAATATTTCAAACCTTCTCCGGTGTTTATTGTTTTTAAAAAATATCGAAAATCTTTTTTTTTTTCAGACAGGTCTTTGCAAAATGAAAGTTAGGCTATATGTGGCTTTAAAACGGTTTGATTTATGTATTGTATATAGGCTACCTACATTGTTATAGTTAGCTTTTGTTTATTTTATATTGGTTAATTTATTTAATGTGATTTTATACATATCCGGTATTTGTAATTCTTTAAATTATATTTCAATATACCTT